TTGCCCCCCAGTCAACCGCTTGTTTGCCCCCCAGTCAACTCCAAAAAGTCACGTGATTGATAGTAAGCAATTGATTCTTAGTTTTCCCCCCAATTATTATCAGTATGGGCATGATGAAAAATCTTGCATGAGGATTGAAATATTTCTGATGTTTTCTGAAAGTTTTTTTTATTGTTTTATCAACCCAGGTTGGGAGTTATTAGTGCAACGGGCTTAATATGTTGGCGCCACAATTCCGTGTGATTTCATTCTCTGCCCTTTTTCTCGTTTCTATCATAGTTAATAGAGGGGAATGGTTATGAAATCTATTGTTATCAGGTCTTTGTTCGCTTGTGATGTTGAACCGGTCTTGACCATGCAATGTTTGATTTATGCTCATCCGAAATTGCAAAATAAGTAAACATAAATTTTCTCTATGGGATTGTTGTAAGTATTTTGAACTAGCAGCCAAAAGAAAGATTTTGGTCTGTTCACTCAGCCATTGCCAACAATGGTAAAACAAAGGATTGTGCACGGTCACGCTTGAAAAAAGTGAACAAAGACCTATAACAAAAGAGTTTCCTAAACATTCCCCTCTATTAAGTATGTTTCTATACAATAAATAAAGAGATATCGTAGTCGTTTTTAGAAATAAATAAAGAATTTTTGTATTCTCTCATACTAACCTTGTGCATGTGCGTGGCCAACGGCACAGCAAACAACCACTAACAGAATGAGTTCTTTCATGCTGATGTACAAGAGGAGGTCAAATCTTCTAGTTTAGTACAACTTCATGGCGTGGTCCAAGAATTCTCGATCTTTTATAAAAAACACTTGATGTTTCAATACACACACCTGTTCTACAGGTTTTGTCAATATCTGACCAGGGTTTTTGTCTCCTTTCAATAACCATCTAAATATTTTACTAGCTATTCCAATACATCAAAAAGTCTAAACTTTGGAACCTCTTACCATATCGCGTCGTGCTTCATGGGCTTACAATCGATGGCAGAAAAAAGTCTACTTGTTACCGAAAGAAAAGCAAAACTGACCCAGGAAATCTTCTATATCCATGCGATAAGCTGTCAAGGCTTTTATGTCGGAACATTCTGTACATTTATTTAGACTAAAGTTAACTAACGTCCAAGCCTTGCATCGCGACGCACTAGTTTGCGAAAGAGAAGACAGGAGACATTAGATTCACTATTAACGTATAGTTTATTATAGATATTATATATTTAAATACATATATATTACATATATAAATACACTTGCACTTTAACTTATATTTTAGATTGGGATTTTAGATTATTATATTGTGATTTTAAATCATATCATTACAATATAGTCATTTAGATATTATTGTTTTATATAATACATGTACTTCGGTCTCACTCATGCCAAATGTAGAATTTTTATAACCGATTTATGATTTGATCTATCTACAGTAGAATCCCTATAACTCGAACCTTCGAGGAGAATGAAGGGGTAAAATGGGAGGGCGGTGGATTGGGAGGGCAGGAGGGAGGGGGAATGGGAAGGCGGGGGTGGTGATGGGAGGGCGGGGTGGGGGGCTGGGAAAATGGGATTTTATGTACTGGGAATGGGAGTTACAAATAAAAAGAATAGAAATTAGGATTGGATTGGTGTTTGAACAAAACATAGGCTGGGATTATAGGATTTGGTCAAAATGGGGGCTGGGAAATAAGATTTGACAGTCGATACTGAAACATGCTTTCTGCCACGGCAACGGTTTAAGAACACTCCTCTAGTTGTATCACTAGATATACCTAATAAACGTACTTCCCATGTATCATTTGGGTCTCAGTGCAGTTTCTATATTTTGAACCCGACAATAATTTTGCAAAACTCCAGTTTCGAGGTATCTGTTGCTCAGGGTTAGCCTCTATTTTTTTATTATTTGCAGAATACTTATGTTTCCAGTCAAGGTTCGTGGAATTTCAAAGTGTTTTTATTACTGGGATACCTGTGGTATCACAGTCGTAAAATGCTATTGYTTTTTTTTCTCCTCGACAAAATGACAAAGTTGAGCAATAGTACCCAGGGGTCTTCAGGAACTTACCCAAGAGACCTTTGCGGGTATCTGCTATATAGATCCCGTCTAAAGTCCAATCAATTATCATATACCAGATGTCAATCAATGTCACTATGTTGTCAAGTGATCATGAGAGGGCGGAGCTAGCAGACCACGTGGCACAGGTTTATGTCTACGCATGCTCTATTTCGTTGACCGCCGTAATTCAAGACAGCCGAACTAGAAATATTAATCTATCAATTTCGTAAACAAGGATTTCAAGCCGAGAAGATATCAATGACTTCGAAGCAAATGAATGAATATCAATGAACTTCATGGGCTAAAGCTTGTTTTGGTTGACTATTCATGATTCATCTACTCGAACCGGCAGTGCATGATTTTCGGCACGAACAGGCGAAGATCGATGAGGAGAACTTTATTAATTAATTAATTAATTTATTTATTTATTTGCCAACAAATAATAATTAATAGAAAAAAAGTTGCAAAAAGGGTGCTGTCAGGGAAGAACTGAATCCTCATATACGGCAGCCCCCACTAACTAATAACAGTGAAATCTCTGGTAGAAAAGAAAAAAAGAAAGATTACGATTATAATGAAGATTAAGAAACTATAAAATGTAAACATATTATAAAACTTGAAAATATATAGTCTTATAGCCTATATTCATGTATTTATATATATGAACTGTTTTTGGCTTCAAAGTCTTCTCACAAGGAACATGAGGTACATAGCAATATTCATTTTAAGATTCTATAAATAATTCGAAGCGTTATGATCTCCTTAATTTTTCTTCAAAAAAAAGGCGATTCATTAAAAAATATCGATAAATTATAAAATTTAAAGCAATTATGAGAGAGGCTTTGAGCAAATATTAGCCTGTATTTACGTTTTAAATGAAGCATTTTGATTTTAAAGCAGGTTGCACAGCAAGCTAATTGCGTATTCCAAAATCAGGATCCCGGAACTGGAATTGGAGTTCCAGATTGAGTTATTCGATGGGTTTGATGAGTATGGCATAAACGCTCTGCCTACAAACGGCTTTCAACACTGTCGTTCGAAATTTTGCAACTTAATTTTACTTCTCCTTTAGATTCTCAGAGACTATAATACTAGTAAACCGTCCCAACCAAGGTCTAGTTTATCATTAATTCGAGACGTCACCGCGAAATACTTTATCAGTATTTTTGGAAGCTCAACCAACTAAATCCTCCATGCATGTTGAAACCAGGTCCTCCAGATCCTCCAGGTATAACAGTGTACCCTGCCAACAGGGTCTTGTTGTTGAAGCTGTGCATCATCTTCGCCTTCCCGTTGGTATTTGTGAATATCAAGACATTAAATTAAGGCTAACCCTGCTGGGGGGGAATTAGTCTGTAATCAAGGAACACAGCGGTAAAGGATCAATATTGAGTGCATGTAAATCAAGTGTTGTATGCATCATTTATATATAAGAGAAAATGAAAGCCATTACACGAGCTATTGGCATTAAGTGGAGACAACAAGGCATTTTTTTTTCATTGGTTGAAAAATATACAGCCTTAAAAACGTTTTGAATCGGATTTTTAATCCCTTATTTTTTTAATCCCTTATTTTTTTTAAATCCCATTTTAGCTTAGCACAAACAATCCACACTTCTACGATAAGTGTTATCAGTCGCGATTTTAGCCTACATCAAAGAATTTATCTTTTAATGCTTTTGCTGTATAATTCTCTCTCTGGGTTGATACCTGCTAATCTCATCAGTATAAAAGGTTTTAAGCAAAGTTAGGGCGAATGATTGAAGTCCAGACTCGAAACAGAACAAATTTACGGCTCAATAAGGCGATAATGAGGATATTTCAACGACAAGGCATTGAGTTGATTCTGATAACGAGAGAAAAAACAGATTTCTTCTTCCGTAAAAAGCAATTTAGATGACAAATAACGTCATCCTGAAGTCGGTGAAATTAAAAACACAAACGATTTTTTTGTCTCAGACGCCTCTCTCTCCTAAAACAGCTACGAATCATATGAAATTCGTCATAGTGAAGATGTGGTTTGAGAACAAACAAGTAAAATAACGAAAAAGGTAAGCTAAGAATTTTTAAACCATTTTTTTATACATTGTTTACATATACGAAAAAGGAAATTTTAAAGTGAAAGTGCTTGCAGTTCAGTAAATGCGTTGAATTTTGTCGATGTATATTATTCGCGATAGGAAAAAGTCCCACCAAAATTTTCATTTCTTACAATAAGTTAATCTTTTTTCTTTTTTCTTTGTTCCTTTTCATTTTCTTTCTTCACATACCTTTTCCTATTGTTGTTTCGTATCGTTGTGTTTTTTGGCAGTTTTTTCTTTAATTCCCAAATCAATGAAAATTTTAGAATGGGTCCTTTCTATATAAAAACGAATTAGTGCAAAATTAAAAGATCCTCTCTACCTCCCGAATCTCGTGTACCTTGAAAGTAAATGGTAAAATGTTGAAATTCCCCACACATTTTCTCCCCCTCACAACTGCCACCAACCCCATCTTCAATTCTTCAATTTCTTGTTGTTTCCTGTATTCTTTTTGTTTTTTGTAGCGGATCTATATATATCATAATCATCCCAAGGTTGTCTGTAGGATCATCGCATTGGAGGCGTCCGACCTAGTTAGTAATTTTTTTTGTTAGTAATCCTATTGATATTGATTGTCATTTTATGTCGTTCTGTTTCCCTCTTGTCTACCTGTCGATACATTAGTTCATGACTGATGTAGTTTTTAGACAGTTATTTTCTAACTGAAAATATAACTGATCTTTTCTTTCCTCGATTGATTTACCCTGAGGCTTAATGCTTAGCTTACTTTCTAAGACTACATTAGACAATACTTCAAGCTTAATGGTAATTGCTTTCAGATTCAACAAGTATAGGAAGAAAAAGGAAGGAAGGAGAAGAAGGAAGAAAAAAATATATGAATGAACAAATATCTATTTAAAAATTGCAAAGAATGAAACAGAGAAAAAATGAATGAATGATCGAATAATGAAATAACGCACGTGAAAAAAGGCTAAAAACTGATTGATTAAAACAAACAAACAAAAAAGGGCGTGGCCGGGGCAATGGGGGTCATGCCCCCTCCTCCCAGCATGTTGGTAATTTTTTCAACTCCAATCTTTTAATCCGCCATCGATAAGCAGTCCTCGTTAAATAATTGTCCATGTACTTGAGCATTTCTCATTTCAAGATGGCATTAATGGTTTTTGAAGAAGCTAGTATGCTGTAGATAGTTTGATAGTACATCAATATGTGTAGCACGAAAAGAAAGATGATCTTCGTTTTAGGCATTACCAATAATCAATGTGGAAAACCAAAGATAAAGCGTCAATTAGATGGCAAGCAAGTAAATCGGTGCCGGGCGAGTTTGAAGGAATGAAGGGCATCATTGATGAAGACGAAAAACAAAATTCACCCTTCATGAATACATACAACTAATATGTAATATAAAATTCAACCAAAAAAATCTAAGTTTAATATCGTCACAGTCAGTTTAGATTAATTAAAAATGGTAGTTAGTTTGCGCTCCAGTAGTGTCCTCCGATTCTCAAGGTGGTTAAGTATGTTCTCCGATTCTTTGACCGGATCTGAAAGGGTTTTTGTGTAATTTCTTCTGAAGTTCTTTCATTATGTATGAAATATTTACAGGGAGACTGGCTTAAAATTCCCAGTGCTATGGACTTGATTCTGAATCAAATCAGTTTAAAAAAGTTCGAATGAGAAATAGAACGGAAGAAACATGTGAAAGAAAGAAAGAATGAAAGAAAGAAAGAAAGAAAGAAAGAAA